CAATAAAACGTTTTATAATGATTCTGTATGTAATCGGCCCCATCAGATGTCGAGTATGATGACGTCATTATCTAAACAATAGAAGTGATGACATTGTTAAAATACTTGTTCGTAGAAAGAGATATTTTTCAGATAATGGTACTAACTGTACATGGTACTAATTATATATAACTGTACATGGTGGTACTAATTATATATAACTGTACATGGTGGTATTTTTACCTGTTCATGGTGGTACTTACTTGAAGATGGGTATTAATCTCATTCGCATCTCGAATTTCTAAGTCCACTTTTGCCTTTCCCCTATCATCGTCATCATCCATTTTGTCTTTGTATGGAAGTTAAATGAAACAATCCTTGAAATATGAATTCCAGTACTTGCTGGGTAAGCCAGGTGTGGCGATATACTGATCGGTTGCCCTGTCGTGACCTAAATTAAATAGCTGCGCATTGTTTTAAAATCTGTTTGTGTCTTTGTTTTGGTTGTAGTTAAGTTTGTGACTGTACATGATAGTTTGGCTCGTATCAATTACAAACCCGTATCAGTTAAAGGTAATTATATACCTGTACTCCATACAGGTATGTTTAACAATACCCATTAAGTAGTCACGACAGGAAGTATTTATATACAAGATGTCATTCCTGTAACTCAGTATATTCTACCCTTACATTGACTTCGTGTTTTGGATAACGCTATAAATATATTGAAGGACACTCAAGATAGCATACATCTCCAGACTGTGTGTTACATCAAGGTGTTTATAATGACGTCAGTGACATCCACATACAGTTAATAAATTGCATAATAGCATGGGTTCACCAGCTAGATATATAAACATGATTATTAATTAATTTTTGACAGCATCGATGAAACAGGGTTTGCTCAATACATGATAGCAAGTTATCTTATCTTTATGTGACTCGAGTTGGTTACCTTTCGAAAAGTGATGTCATGGAGATAAGAGGCCTACATAGCATCTTTATAAACTTTGAAAACCAAATAATGACAGTATGCTAAAAATGGACACTGACCATAATAACTCTGAAATTCAGTCCGAATGTAACACTTTACACGTTTATTACCTGAAGATCATGACGTCAAAATGCAAGTATGCATTCAGTGGGACATTGTGCATAATGACATAATTTAAATTATTGTTCATATTTTATATTCAGGTCATAAGCCATCATATAAACCAAACCACTTTTTGACCATTTTAATAATGCCAACAAATACTGTCATTTATTTATTTATCTATCTATTTAAAAAAAAAAAATTGTAAATAAAAAAATATATTTAAAAAATGACAATATAATAGTTTTTAACTGTTTAAAATGAAAATTACACACACTGAATACCCGAACTCTGTGTAACGAGTCACGACAAAGATTAAAAACAAAATACAGATTCTATGTAAAATGATAATATTCAATGTAAACCATAAATTCAAAGCAAATCTAAACACTATTACACTATATAAAAGGAAACATTTAATCAAGTTCGACTTAAATATCTCCGACCTAAATATTCTTCACTTTGTGAAGTCAAAAGTATCAAAATTAACTGCACTAAAGGGGGGGGGGGGGGGGGGGGGGGTCTGAAATAGCTTGTTGACAATGATATGCAACATGGGACTAAATCTGCAACACTTAGTAATAACAACCTTTGCTTTTGGAGTTCACATGTGACAGTTATTTCATTATTTCAGATTCAATTCTTTAAAACAGGATTTTTAAAATCTGACCTTTTTGTTTTAAATATATATTTATTTTACAACAATTGCAAAACAAGTACTATCAACTTATCGATTAATCACACTTGTTGGCCCAGATGTTAGCGCGCTTTGGGTTTGAATGGGGGAGGGAATCTGACTCGACCGCCTTGCGTTATCTATTGCGCTGCCCGACCACCCAGCATCTAACCTGTTGATGGTTTTAATGTGGGAGGGAATCTGACTCGACCGCCTTGCGTTATCTATTGCGCTGCCCGACCACCCAACATCTACCCTGTTGACAAATAAATAATGCATCATTCTACGCAAACACCATTGTATCGTCACCATTGTAACCTGATTTTAACGGTAAGGTTTTAGCGTTGATTAAGATTAAGAACTGGGTGTTAGATCCTTGATGCCTGTATAATTGTCTAAATTTTACGAGAAACTTCATGACGTGTTTTGTACATGTTGAAGATTATAAACCTCTGTTTTTATTTTGATGCCTACTTAGATGGAATAGTTGTCTTTTTATATTTATGATCAATTTCAGTTTTAACCTTGTGTGTTGACGTTGTTATATATTATATTTTGTTTCCTTGTTTTCTTCAAGTCCAATCTACATACCCTAACCCCTGTACAATGCATAAAAGCATATATTCAAGTTCAGCCAACATGCATGAACCCCTTTATAATGAAAAATAGATTACAAACTAACCCATATACCCTAGACCAAGTACAAAGAGAAACACATTGTTATCAAACCTCCGTAACCTTACCCCTGCAAAATAAAAAAAATAAAAATATCCAACACAATTCCTATGTAATAAAACAAAATGTAGATGCACGTCCAACTTTGTTTCCCTAATCACAGTGCTAAGAAAAATATAGAGCACGTCAAAATGAAATTCGAAACAGGTTGGAGAAAATGGAAACCTATTGTAGATATATAGCTGTTTTGTTAATTTATTTTTCCTGTGTTTTAATTTATTTTTTGTATACTGTATATATCCAAGGCCTCAGCAGTTTCTGATTAAGTCACTGGCTACTTAAGCATATACAATTTTTACATGAAAGATTGCCTCCCCTACCTCTCTCTCTCTCTTTCTCTCTCTCTCTCTCTCTCTCTCTCTCTGAGAGTTTGTTATGGTGTGTTGTGTGGTTGATGGTGTGTGTGTATGGGTGTGTAAAAGATGAATTATAGATACAGCTAGGTATGAGGCATATGAGTGTCAATATATATAGATAGCTGACTTCATACTAGTCTTATGTGTATGCATGTGTGTTTATATATTGTACATATTCATGTATGTACTGGTCAGGATACATCATGGACCTTATGTTTATACAATTAAATGGCTATTATCGAACATGTATACAGTGCAGTATATACCAGTGCTCAAATGATCATGTACACATTGTGATATGTGTCTGTGTGTTGGTGAACAGTGATACATATACTATGGTAGGCTTGGAAGTTTCAACTATACTTCTAGGGGTAGATGAATGAGGAAATGTTTTAATGAATAAATATGCAGAACATGGTGGTTGTATAATGTATACCTGTGCACGTGTAGATTATTAAGTTGTGCTAGCATGTATGCTCTGTAAGTAAGATTCATGCCCAACTTCATTAGCCTAATCCATGCTAGGATATAATGAAAAACTATAGCGGTATGCCCAGCTTACAAACTTGAACCCTATGAATAGAATAACGGATATTCTAACCTAACCTGCGTCAAATATGGACTAATACACATTTATAAGCAATGTATACATGTAGTAAGATAATATTTGGTATCGACGCATCTCCCTTCTTCCGTAAAACAATATTATTACAATTAAGATAGTGATACCCTGGCACAAACAAAGATTGTACATCAAGCAATATTTGCATTTTAAATATAAACAAGATATTTTTATATGATAAATAAGAGAAGGCCATCATAAACAATATTAGTTATTAAGACATGATCGACTTGTTTGAAACTCATCTATATCTTAATACCTCTTGATATATATATATCTATATCTACAAAGTTCAGTTATTAGATGAAACCAGTATTACACCTTTCACAATAGTTATTCCACAATAATAACGACTATATTTGTCTCCAGGTCTGTACGATACCTTGATTGTAATCTGTGTTGCCTTTTAATGTACCACCGATAGACATGTCTCCACACAGAATAACACGATGCTAATGACGTCATACACTCGGTTTTGATTTGGTTTGTTCTGGTTTATACAAAACTTCGTCTTATGATTAATCTTTATTGAAATTTCCATTATTTTCATATCAACAAACATATGTAACACACACTTGTAAGTACATCTCATTTTGCAGTTGCATTTACAAGTATATGTACCACTCGATCCGTATTTACAAGTTTATATGATTTAATAGGTGTATTTACTAGTATATATACCATGCTTCCCGTATTTGCACAGTGTTTGAACAGCGTTTTTATTGGCGTTAGGCTGGTATGAACGCAATGGGATCCAGACATATTACATAGCGCGCTGCGTTCATACCACCGTAACGGCAATACAAACGCTGTTCAGTCCCTTTTTAATGATATATTATAAAACTTGTAGATCTATTTACAAGTATATGCAACTTGCTACTTTTAATTTGCAAGTTACGTTTTTCTGTTTAGTAAATACCATTACATACTGTTATCTATTTGTGTTGAAGGCTATTATATTTTGCTTTAGAATATTAAGAAGTTATCTATAAAATATACGAATGTTTTAATCTGATCTCAGGGGGTCGATCGGAAACAATAGCATCAAGGTTTGAACCCTGGTCTTGCCCCACGAGAACACATTGAGAGCACTGTGGTTCTGTTTTGCATATTTCACCTTTATAAATTTGTCCATTAAGGTTTCGCAAGGTACCATTTCATTTTCACAAAGGATTTATCAAAGCTATAATAATGCCGAAAACCCAGTTTCCAACGCATAGTTACAATTTTTGGCAATGGTACGGGGATCCTTAAGCTTGGATTTTGTCTTCGTGTATCGTTGATCGGGTATTTTTTCCTATTTCGTTTTACTCTTACCTTTAGATAAGAGGTAGAGTCCGTTCAGCCTTTCATGGGAAAATTGAGACCATTTCGTCTTACCTGGTGATGAGAGTTTAAGTCTGGTCACTATTACCAGGGGAATAAGAGCTGACGTCCATTCATTAGAGTTGAGTTTCGTTTACTATTACATAGAAATTAGAGTTGAGTTTGTTCACTATTACATAGAAATTAGATTTGAGTTACGTTCACTCTTACCTGCAGATGAGCGTTGATGTCGTTTGAATCCCGCTGTACCAAGTCAACATTGACGGCCCCAACGTCATCATCCATATTCGATTATTGGCACAATCTGTATAATCCACTTAAACCGTCTTATAAACGTACGAGCACTCTCGTTAATCCAGACCCTTTGGTTCTAAACTTAATTGTGCTTCAACTTGATTTTTGGGACACTTTTGAGTAAAACAAAAGACCAATATATATGTTGTCCACCAAAGCACTGACAGGACGGCTGGAATATAGTGGCTACTGGATAACAAGTGTTAAAGGTGCGTCAGAATTGCCGGATCTACGGAAACATGCTTCTTAGACAAACCAAGACCTTATATATCTCTAAAACATGCTGTCTTGCTTTGTATAGAAACAGCGTAGGTAAATACTGCGACTTGGGTGCATACAGACAATGTACAAGAAGAAAAGACCATGTTATTTAATTGTTGAAGTGTCAGTCCCCATCCTGAGTTTAAATATCCGCTATTAGCGTGATTGCGATAAAATCTCGACTTTTGTTTAACAGTGTATAAGGACAACAATGCCAGGCTAGTGGGAACATTAATGGTGTGTAACGTGTGCGCGAGGTCAAATCTAATTCGGGAACACTCCCGGATGATAGAATACTAATTAAATATACTGCTGATTTCCCCCCTCCCCCAAATGTTGTATTCATGCTATCTAATGTTTTACTGTATTTTATTTCTCCAGCATTTTTATAAATGTATTTATATTTCAAGAGAAAAGAATATATATCAATATTTGTTTTGTTTATAATTGCCAGGTTTATGGTTTGGGAGTTGGGATAAATTCCCCTTAACAAATAGTGTATTCTTGCTAGAGGGCTTCCGTGCACCAAACTCTCCTAGACCCTTAAACTCATTCATAAAAATACTGCCACCTTAAATCTTTTTTTATATATATGTTTGCTCCGATTTTTCCGAACAGTTTATTATGTTATCTACCTTCATTTCGCTAACCATGACTCTCCTGATCACATAATTAATTCCATCTTTTTTTATTTGTATATATCTATCATATCATTCGTTGTTAATTGTGATCACAAAACTCATACAAAACGTTACAGTTAAATACCACAAACGCTGGTGTCATTGTACATCATGGCTCCTTCTTTATTTGTTAATCCTCAGTTATCTCGTTCTGTTATCATCATGAAGGCTACGGTCAACAAGTAGTGCATTCCTTAAATAACTTCTTATAAACCCATTGTTTTAATTGATAAGACAATGATATCGATATTTATTTACATATTACCAGCAACGTAAGTGTCCATGAAAACTTAATGTACATATATAGTCCAATAATGACGTTGTCATTTACACGAAAGAAAATGTCACATAGACATTCAGTCTTATAGTAACTTAGAAATAAAAAGTCAGTCACATCTCATCGCCATTTCAGGATACCTTCTACTACCGTAGTAAGGTGTTTATTACCCGAAACCACTATAAGTTACCTCACTTCCGACTCATCGAATAAACCTGCTAGAAATTGGTAAAAATGTTGATTACCTACTAGTGGGTAACATCACGTTATTTCATTGGTTTATCTTCGAATTATGGAGTCAAGTAACAATGATCTGCAACGTCATCTTCAATTGTAATGTCATAGTTCATAGCGATTGTTTCCCTGATCAGAAACAAGAATAATATGTTCCTGAGAGAAGCACATGCTTTTCTAGATATAACATCTGAACGTTCTGGGCGAAAAAAGGTTCCCAAACTCATGATGGTTGGTTGTCACTTTGATAAACTCTCGTTCGTTAAGGTGCTGCCACCTGCGTGTGTGTTACAAACATCTTTCAATGATTATATAGTCCTCGTGGTTTGCTGTACGCCTGATGGTCAAATTGTTCTCTTTTGAGTAGTGGCATGGTTCAAAATATACAAACTTTACAGATTATTTCATTTGCAATTAACTAGTACTCTAAATATTTTAATTCATAACTTAAGGGGTTTTACGAGACTACCTCTTTGTTTCAACAATAGATTAGACTAATTTGGAATTCCAACCTTTTGACCCCTATCATCACCGATGAGTCATAGAAGGACGAAACAGATGTATAGTGCAATGTAATTCATTTTTGGCATACTGTATATATCACAAAATTGTCAATGTGTAGTAACGTGTGGGTGTGTTTGTGTTTGTTCGTCTTTTAAATTGTATTAATTTGTGGTAAATCTGCATGTATCCATCACGGAGACATTCGATCCGATGGAAGTAGAGCTATATGTTAGATACTCCGTTCCTTTAATCTTTTCTTTATCGACACTTGTCGTATCTTTGTTGGATTTTAATATTCGATTTGGATAGACGGTATGCAAACATTTGGAAAAGGGTGTTTCCCATTATTTGACTGTTTCATACTGTTAGTCTTAGTTTGCAACACTCTAGACAATTTTCCGCTTATGTAGGATATTCACAAGAAGATACAAGGTAAAAGGGAGAGATTTGATTACCCTATCCATCATCAAATTCCATTGTTATTGGAAAAGTCGAAAAGGGAGGAGCAGTCGTAAGTATGAATACAGATTGTTATCAACAACTGTGATTATGTTGAAAAATTAAGCATTTTATTCAAAACTCAGTGGAAAGGCAGGTAAGAAAATAATGAAGAAGCTTAAAATATTAAGAAAATATTATATACCAGTTATTATATACGAGATTAAAATCAGATTAATTATTTTTTTTTTATCTTAAAACCACCAACACCCCTTAAGGATTAAATAAGATTCATATGTACTTCTAGAAATGCAGAACGCAAAAAAACCCAAAAAAACACAACGAATCCCACACCAAGGACCTTTAGTTAGAGGACGAAACCCATCAACTGAGAGCAGTGTCACTTTTGTGAAATCACTATATGTGGTAGCGAAATCACCTCTGAAAAGAATGTACAGAACAGCTTAATTAGTGGCATTTGATGTGGTTGATGTAAACACCAATATAACAACTCGAATTGAAAGAAGAACGTAACACACGGACAAGTGATAAAAGATGAATAGAATAATGCTGTAGATCCAGTGGAGCTCTATGTACTTGCACGGTTTATGGTCATGTGATCGAATTTGGCAGTATTACTCATTTATATATTAAGACAATGTGATTAGCACAAGCTGACGTTGGTATTTTTTTGTTTGCAGGTCATCCATGCCTCACGCAATCTATTTAACCTCACGCGATTTGTTCATGTGCGTAAATGTCACCAACCAATTGAGAAGTCGTCATGCGTCACACAATGTATACAGTTTACGCTTTGTATTATCTATGTCCTATATAACACGTATTGTCTCCCCGATACAGGTTAGGGAGAGGAATAACAGGCGTTCTCTTTAACAGTAGAATATGAGAAAATAATGCGTCAATCTGGAAATATTCTGGAATAATGGTACATATACCATGAAACGTTTACAAAAATAACTGTTAAGTATCAGTATTGCCGAAGAATATTATAACGATTACATAATACCCCTATGTAATCATTGTACCCGTGTCAATAGTTTTATACTAGTATGCATTGTTTACCTGAATTATTAAAACAATGTGGTTGACTTATCCCGGACTCGCGGACAAATATAACATTTCACATTAAAATTCAGTTCGTCATCAGACAACTACAAAATGTTAATTTAATATCTACACATTCCAGATCAGGCCGGACTGTAAAAGTAATTAATCCTATTGAAATGGTATCCCCGTGTTAAAACAGGGTAGTTATTGGCGGCATAAGGAATTGTCTCGTAATGGTCATGGCGTCGACATCGTCCAACATACTTCTCTTAGTAGTTTTTGAGTTCTTCGTACCTTCAGAGTATTATTGGATGATATCACAATGTGGAGGTTGGAGTCACCTGCCCGAACACGTTGGTTTTCTCCGGGTACTCCGGTTTCCTCCCACACTAATAACCCCCATGCGCTAACATCCGGGCCAACAAGATTGCTTTATATAAGTTGAAATAATTTGTTTCATAATTGTTGTTATATAAATAAAGTTTATATTATATTGCATGGTTATGTTGGTGAATACTACAGACATCCCCCTGGTTAATGATAAAACACAGGATAATACCCAAGTGTAAGCAAAACCGTAAACAAAAACAAAACTCAAAATCGATCAAACTACTGCAAAAATACAAACAATGGAAAGGTTTACACGGAGGCCTTTAAAATGGTACAATGAGAGTTAGACCAAGCGTTCCGGAAGGGTGAGAGTCCTCTGCTTTTTCGACGGCATACGCAATGTAAAGGTAGATTAAATAAAAAAATAAATTATCACGTGTTCATAGAAGGTACTGGGGGAGGTACAATGGGACTTAAGACAAACAAATAAGCATGTCGGAAACGTCGATATTCGAATCACACAAGTAAATAGAACATAACTCAATAAGATGATGATTGCTAACACATGTTTTGCCTTTATCTACAAGCATCCCTGAGAAACCATGTGTTGTCCGTCAGCATTAGACAACTGTCACGACTACCGTGAAATCCTGCGCATGCTGTTGAATATCGAATCAGTTGCGATATGTAAACACTGTAGATTTGGGAAGCATGGATGTTGCTATCAAGAAAGGAAAAGTTAAAAATTTGACAATCAAAATCGTATTTTTTTCTCACAGCTAGGTAGTAAGCCGTCCCCGTTGGTCGGGTTGGAAGTTAAGGTTGAGGTTATAGGCTGATGTAAAACAGAGGCCATTGGCATCAGATTCGAAAGATCTACATATATAGTACATATTAGTTACATGTGTGTCTATGTGTAGTAGTGAAATATTAAAAATGGAGATTTTAATATAATTCACTCCAGCAGTGTTATTGTGGGGTTTTTTCTCCATACATTTAATTTAAACTATCGCGGATTCGTAGATTTTAGCCACATTTTAACTACAGCATTAATTTATTGATCGATATATGCAATAAATCTTCGACATAATGTCACTTCGTTTACCGCCAACATATTTCAATGTCCTTTTTTTCTCGTTTTCTTAAGAATTCATTTACTTTTGTTTTTTAAAATTTATCGTTAAATAACCGTTACGAGGTTTTACTGTATATAAAATATATATTTCTCTACACATATGAGGTAAATTGGTCGATTCTTTTCACATAATAGAATTTGTGCATAATAAGCTGGATGACCAGTGTCTTCCCAGATAACTTATTGCCCTGGAAAGTATGCAAAATAGATGATTTGTAAAATACACGGTGTTGACATGTGTTCAATATATAAAGATCAGAGAAATTTTCACCTTTTTGACTGTATGCAATGTACCATAGATGAAGATTTGTGAAACGGAATTTTTCACCTGTTGAAATGTGTGTAATAAAGGAAGATTCGAGAAACAGACATTCTCACCTGCATATGGGCGTTGATATCGTTAACATCACGGTTGATTAAATCCACGTTTACCGCGCCTCCGCCTCCTTCGTCTCCCATTTTTGAAGAAGTTATTAATCGATGAAGATAAATACCTCAACCTTTCTATCCTACGGTGTGTTACCAATACGTTATACAGCAGTTCTACATTACAAATACATCTAAATTGATCATATATAATGTTAGTCCCGTAAATGAGATGACACTGTCTCTAAGCAATAATGTCAAGTTTGTTCAGGTACTTCAAATAGAAATGTCTTTTTTTATATTAATTGTCTATAAATGGAAGAGAAGACAATGGGTGCATGTTAAGCTGGGAATAAAAACGCGCTATTCTCCCACGTGTACCATACGTGTGTATCGATACCTTTTATAACAATCATTCATACCTGTTCAGGTGTGTCGTGTTAATTGAATAGTGTTAACATTTAAAGTTCGTTTTAACTTTATTATAGGTCACACGTAAGACGTCAATTCTACCGCACGATTACACAATACAGAAACCATGTACATGTACCATACCATTTATTGGACACAGTACAGATGGACTTCTTTCAAATTTTTAGCCTAAGTTGTATAAAAGTATTCTGTGTTATTTTCTCTCCAAGCTGAGCCTGGAATTGACTCTCTGCCAAATAATTAGTATAAATGCTAACTTTATATATTTTACAACAATTATGAAACATTTTTTTCAAACTTATATTAATCACTTTTGTTAGCCCAAAAGTAAGCAGGCCGAGGGTGTAAATGTTGGAGGAAACCAGTGTATCCGAAAGAAACCCCACGTGGAAAGATGGTTACCCAATACCTTTAACGTCCGTTCGGACAGTCGAGCCCCGGTTGTTTGGTAATAGGCGATGCACTATCCACTGTGCCATCCGATCACCAACATGAATAGTATCCTCAGGCTGCTTAAATATCTTACGCTATATTTTGTCAATGAAAATAGTGAAAATTAACAAATGACCAGTTAATGGTTGAAATTGTCTTGATGTTTTTTTTATCAAAAACCTTGTAACAATTTTTAAATTAAAATTTCAAACCCAATTTTGATTTTGGTAATCGCCCAATGGTTTAGTATATAAAAACAACAAAGGCGAATGTGTACTTCCGAGTCGCTATGAACGCTTGACTGGCACAAGCCAGTTATCCCTGTGGTTTCAAAGTTCTCAAAATGAATCGTGCACAAACAGATCATTTAATTCCAAACTTACACGTCGATTGAGGGCTTTTGACAATAACAGCGAGGTGATTTGGACTCTTAAGATGAGTGAGGTCAGAATGAATAACACTGAAACAAACCACAGCCGATATAACTGACCCCTACATTCTTGTACCTGGATGTGCTAAGGTCAACTTACAGGGGAAACAACGAACCAATGTAAAGTACACGTAATAACGATTTTATATCCAATCGTGTCCTACAATGGACTGTTACTTGTGTACTGTATATGTATGGGTACGTCTTTAAACCATAACATTATATACACATGTGCGTAGGACCTTATGTTCCCATTACTCAGCAGTATGCAAAGTTCAGTCAAAATGCAATGTGTCTCATTTATGGAATGCACCTATATTCTACATTTTTAACAGTATACAATACAGTTTCGTTAAAACATTTCCCTAATACATTCTCTTACTTCGAGTCCTAAGCTGAGCAGTCGCGATGTACTGGTCGCTGGTCGGTGGTTTTTCCTCGGCTTTCTGTGGCAATCCTCCACTACCAAAACCAAGCACGTCCTTAAATAACCATGGATGTTGATAGGACGTAAAACACAAACCAAACCAAACACTCCCCTTTGATGTTTGAAAGAACTGTCCTGTACAAGACAATCATAATTATGTCCTGAAAAGATCCATATAATTCGAAGCACCAAATATAAATCTAGAGCTCTGTTGTTTCTTTGATATTTTACTGGTGATTTATTTTTTGGTTTTCATGACATTTTTGCGGAAGCAATGTCAGTTGACATGTCTGTTTTATGGAAGCTATTCGCTCATTCCATCAAGCTTACGACATGATTGGTTCGCGATTACTCTAAAAGTATAACGGAAAGGCTTGCACAATTTCTGATTGGAGATATATTCAAGTGTAATAATTATGAATGCTATATTAAGAGGCTGTAAAAAGGCAAAGGACTAGACACGCATGCTATAAATAGTTCTCCCTCGATTGCTATAGGTTTGAACAATCACAGCCCAAGGTTTACTGTTTTGGATAATTTACTTTAAGGTTAAAACTCATTCGCAATGACGTCAATTTTCCTGAATTTAGTATCACGGAGAAAAATGTCACACTCGGGATGATAACAATATGATGTCTTCTTTATAAATACCTGAAAAACAACATCTTATATACAAGTGACACAAACAATGTTGCCCAGTGTCCTGTCACTGAAATAGAATAATAAACTAGAAATACAAAGTCATGTGCAAGTATTTAAACATTTAATAAGTTATAAATCAAGTATCAGTCTACATCATGTTGACGTTACAGTGTAACATTAAATAACGATGCCTTCTCGTCCAGGCCTCGTGATAAACATAGCGGAACATCGTCCAGGTAGCAGTGTACAGTATACAGGGGTTAGCCATTTAACAAAAATATCACCCATGGCCACAACCCTCTACTGTACACTGCTACCCCAGGCCTCGTGATAAACAAATTAGAACATCGAAAGAAACGTGTCCGCCTATTCTTAGGGTTTGTATAATGTATATAATTATATTTGTATAAATATGTATCGCTTAACATTTTTCTATTATACATAAAGATATCATTTCACGTATATTTGTACTTCCATGTGTAGTGAGCAACGAAAATAAACGAACTGCGCATGCTCTGTAAAGCTTTCGAAAACAGATTTTAATGTGTGTACATACCTGCAGCCGATATTAACAGGCAAATTGATTTTATTTCTATGGCTATAACAATGTAATGCGGTACACAAATATATGAAAAATCCTTTTTCTCTGCCAGGCTGTCCCCCAGCAACAGACTACCTCCCTACAGCATTTCCCTATGACACGTCGAAAAGACTATCCGTGATTATCACTAAGTTAACCGTCGTTTCTGGGTAGCGTAACAATTTAATTTATATTACTTCTCGGTCACAATATCTGGGGTGACGTCATATGAATGAAGTATCGATGTGACTGGAAGACTTATTCCAAAGGAGTAAACGTAACACCATTTTATCCCTTGGTTCCACTGTGTTGGATAGAGATGTTGGAAAAGAGGAGGCCGCAGGTCTCGCAAAATGGCGCGAGAATACAGCCGACGAGATTGCCGATGCACTTCTGCATGGCGCTACAATTGATGACAAGGATCCGTATCGCAGGAGTCACACACCACACGTGTTCAAAAGCCACGAAGGCGAACTGGAATCCCCAGAAGAATGCCATGCAGAGTCCACAGAAGACAGCCAGGAGATTGTAACAACAGTTCTTACTGCACCGGAAGCATTCCTGAGAGGTTTCCCAAACACAATCGACGCTCTCTATTCCGTATCCCTCCGCGAACACATCTTCAAAGTCAGCCTAACAGTAAATAATAGCAATAGTAAGATATATTAATTAATATATACGTCTTCATTGAGATATCTTTCCTATGAAACTTTTAATATTTTCGAAACAACATGAATAAGCTTAACAAAAACTTTACTAGGGTCAACATTCCAAATAATAAAATTCTATCACACACACATTAACAAAACACGTTCACGTATTTTCCATTCCGCCGCAAATACGCCAAAAAAAGACCATTTTGTTATTATTAAGGGTCTTTTTATTTCTGACTAAATTCTGCTCATTGTCATCGACAAAGCGTTGATTGTAATTCAAAAAAAAAGAAAATGCACATGACCAGATTTATTCTTACTCTCCACTTTTGATAAATACATTTAATTACTAAAGAATTCAAAAAATAATAATTTCATTACTCAAAATGACAAAAGCCAAACAATTGAATACCTGGAAAATTTCGCTCAGTGAAATATTCGCCCTTCACCGATAAAATCCTTATTAGCCCAACATAAATTTCGCCCTTCACGCGTGATTAATATATCCATTATATTATGCATCAGGATAACGGAGGGCGAAAAAATCTGCAACGAATATTCCCCGGCATACAATATTAGCTTTCAACCTATATTTTAACCAGATTTTGAACAAACTCGAATATTGCACAAAATGCCTGCGATTTAAATAGCTATCAGACGAATGCTTTATAGTAAGATACAGTATGTGTACGGTGTTTTTAAAATTTCAGATGCACACACGCATTTGATCACGTCTGTATTGGAGACATTTAAGACATTAAAACACAGCTGGGGGACGTTTGATGGGTTTCTTACGCATATTGATATTTTTAGGTACATGTATATGTGTTCACAATACTTTTTTTTCATTTTGATATTTCCAAGATATTTCAAATGACTCTCTTCCGAACTGTTAGCCATGCTCTGTACGTGTTTAAATGTATAGCATACTTTTTTTCACCCACATTTTTATCGGCTTGTCATTTCTTTTTTCTTTTCTTTTTTTTTCTTTATATATATATATGTACTGGTATCATACAGATCTAACTATAAGCAAATCCTATACAGCCCAATCGTTACAGTTCCCCCCAAACACACAGCTCTGTGCTATTGATACAGGTCATGACATTGTCAATGGGTTTCATAGTTAGATAAGACAGTGAAGGTTCTAACACTAGTATGCAAAAACGCGATCGATCAAATTTTGGAGATTTTTATTTGCAAACACTTGTACGCTGGGCCACATATAATTGATACAAGTCTTCACCTGAAATTGCAATGTAACTTACAAACTTACCTGTATTAACTAACTCTAAAATGTAACTTATCCTTAAACTTTTAACTTGTATAGTTACCTGCTGTAATTATTTCTTAACTGTAGTAACTAACCATTACTTGTATTGACAAAAACGTAACTGCAGATACAAAAAAGCTAACTTGTAGTAACTTATTCTCACCTGTAGTAACTAGTGCGCACCTATTACCTAATATTAAACCCCAAAGTAACCAACATTCACCTTAAACTAACCCCGAGATGTAAGTATCACTGACAGATAAAATAGAAACACAAACACATTACTCTCAAGTTTCGTTAAACAAGAACTCAAAGCTCCAATGAAAAACATCTTGCATCCCCAAACACCAAATCGGATGCGAACGGGTAAGTAAGTGTTACATCAGCTGACACCCTGGAATATATTTCACGTTCAATTCAGTATTCTAGTAAGTAATGATCTACGACAAAGTGTACATGTAGGCAATGCAGTCATCGTCCTTAGATATAATTACCACTCACCTGTGATTAAACATCACCTGTAATTATATCTCACCTGTATGTGTACGTTGATACCATTTGGATCTCTGTCTTTTTTGAGCGAGGCCATGTTTACACCCCCACGTTAACCCTCGTTATGGCAGTACCTCCTTTCCGCAGGTATATAAGCAATGTGAACGTAAGCAACCTGTGGAAGGTGTAAATTCTTATACCAATTTTACGACTTTAACTGAATATCGAAAATTGCCTCTACTCTATGTCATCTTTTAGCTGAAAGTGTTCTTCACTGACAAAAATGACCGGTTTCAACAGTGATATTTTACCATTACACCTTTTTACAACAATGTTTGGAAAACAGTTATAATGGCGAGGTATCACAGTTCAACCATTGTTATGGCGAGATAGTACAGTTGAAACCGTTGTTATGGTGAGGTATTTCTGTTAAAATCGTTGCTATGGTGAGGTATTTCTGTTGAAACCATTGTTATAGTGAGGTATCATAGTTGAAACCGTTGTTATGGTGAGGTATTTCTGTTGAAACCGTTGTTATGGTGATGTATTTCTGTTGAAACCGTTGTTATGGTGAGGTATTTCTGTTGAAACCGTTGTTATGGTGAGGTATCACAGTTGAAACCGTTGTTATGGTGAAGAATCACTGTAGCAACCGTTGTTATGGTGAGGTATTTCTGTTGAAACCGTTGTTATGGTGAGGTATTTCTGTATAAACCGTTGTTATGGTGAGGTATTTCTGTTGAAACCGTTGCTATGGTGAGATATTTCTGTTGAAACCGTTGTTATGGTGAGGTATCACAGTTGAAACCGTTGTTATGGTGAGGAATCACTGAAGCAACCGTTGCTATGGTGAGGAATCACTGTAGCAACCGTTGTTATGGTGAGGTATTTCTGTTGAAACAGTTGTTATGATGACGTATTTCTGTTGAAACCGTTGTTATGGTGAGGTATCATTGTTGAAACCGATGTTATGGTGAGGTATAACTGTTATTACAGTTGTTATGGTGAGGTATCACTCTTGAAACCGTTGTTATGGTGAGGAATCACTGTAGCAACCGTTGTTATGGTGAGGTACCACTGTTGTTACAGTTGTTATGGTAAAATAACACCGCTGTAACAGTTTTAATGATGAAGTATTACAGTTGAAACATTTTCAGTGATGAGTAGTTAAGAATTACAGAGTTTTGCCAATATCCCCCAGATATAGAATACACCGCTGTGTGCTCGAAAGGCTGTGTGTTCAATATAAATATAAACATATATATAATATTGTACACGTGCTAGGATTGTAAAGCCATTTTCTCTTGTTGACCAACATGATAAATAAACTATAAATCAGCGACTGTTGCCTGGTCGCATTGTTCGGTTTAAGTAATAAAAACCGTCAAGAGCCTCAATCTACTTGTACAAATCATCTTGAGTCTTACGTTTCTTCATTTGTGTACTCGAGATTTCACCTCAATTTTGAGATGTCTCTCATACAAGTGGGGCGATAAGAGATATTGAAATTGTGAAATTTATGAGAACTGCTTTTGATTTCAGATATATATATATATATATGTTTTTAAACTCTGTTTTAGTCGGGCCAGGTTATAGAGAACTCGGCCAAAGTAGACATTACCATTTACACAGCTACACGTAAACATGAATGACGGAGAGCTTTTAGCATGACGAGAACTTGTTTGACTGACCTGGGCTTATCATAAGGACACGCATTACATTGTTTCTAGATTCTGCAGATCAAGGTAAAACAAGTCTTGTCCTTTTCTTAAACCTTATACAGGAAGTATATTATTATATGCACCCAAGTGCAAAACCCATTCACTTTTTAGGCGGTTTTTGTAGCTAACATTTATCATGACGCTTCTGTGACGAAATGTTTACAATCACTTTGTACGTAAACAGGAGAGGATATTATCATGTAAATTGATAATAGAACAAATAAGCAGATACTGGCCCCATTCGTCACAACTCGGCAGATTCCGAAGATGAAGAGTACCGGAACCAGCCGAGGCTAGCCGAATGATACTGGCCCCAGGATATCCTACCATTGATTTATACTAATTTTAATACAGTCATCATGTAAATTCCTATTATTTTATTTATACCCTTTGAGTGTTTAACTGCTTATAATGCGGGGGTGGAGTGCCGATTCGAATGCTTTGTTAAGCAGGCTTTAGTGATTATGTATAAATTCATATAATAAAATAATAATAATATAAAACATTTATATAGCGCCCTATATAATTTGTAAAATTACTCTAAAGCGCTTTACAACATATGGATAATAGTAATGGTTATAATTGTGAAAACAAAAAACAAAGGCTTACAATCACTTTTATACATTTAAGCAAGCAATATGCACATAATTGAACAAATAAAAGGGTGGTATTTACATGACGTCTTTGCAAAGATTCTAAAATGCAGACGTGAAGAGGTGAGTTTTGATGTCCCTCTTGAACTTGGCCAGGGTATTTGACTTTCTAATAGCAGATGGTAAGCTATTCCACAACGTAGCCGAAACCCTCCCAAAGCATCTGTTTCCGTAGGTCACAGTACGAGATTTTGGGACACACAACAAAGATTCTGACTCCGACCGCAGTGATCGTGACGGCTGATACATGGTAACAAGCTCCTGTAGGCACTGAGGAACTGTTCCATTCAGTGCCTTGTATGTGTACACCAGAATTTTGTACTGCGACCTGTATCGTACAGGTAACCAGTGCAACGAATAAAGCACAGGTGTGATGTGCTATCTCTTTCGAGTACGAGTAACTAGCCGTGCTGCAGTGTTCTGGGCCCTCTGCAGACGACTAGTTAGCTTAGAGTATAACTTTTAATTTATATTGCCGTCATTTGTAAATCACTTAAAGTGTTATAAATGTGTTTTAATAGTCATAATCATATGAACTACAATATTTCATGATAAAAGTCTTGTTCTTAAAATGTGCTTTATATTCAAACTTCTAATAAAAATGTAATAGCAACATTGAGAGGACATGATTTAACTAATTGTAATTTGCTGCATGCTACTTTTGTAAGGATATTTGCTAAGACTGACTGTAAAGCACTTTGATTGGACGGACGGGAACGGACATGCGATCTTTTAAGAAAAGTTAAGGAAGTGCAAACTGGAATCATGCCAGATAATCGTGCGATCTCATGAGACTGCTAGTCAACACTGGTCTTTAAAAACCAACCCTAATGTCAACAATACCGTAACTCTGACTCAAAGCTTTAAAACGATAAACAATGCACACTTATAAAAAGCATAATCAAAAGCATTGTCCTTTATATCCCACAAACAACATATTTCTGCATGAAATCATGATGGATATCACAAAACTTGTCCAAATTCTACATTAACCTATATCCCTTAAAACTCGGTGTTATAGGTTTGTCCATCAGCAATCGACATCTATCACGGTGGTCATGATATGTGCAGCAAGCTCCTGAACATCAAATCAACTGAACATAGATGTTACTATAAAGAAACGGAAGGCTCACTGTCGGAGAGTTGAAATCGTCCCGCTTATCGTACAGCTTAGTAGCAAGTAAAGATTAAAGAAAGCGGCTGATGTAGAAAAGTCTTGATTTCAACTTCATGAGGGTATATATGCGATCGAAGTGGTCAAGAAAGAATTTGTTATTTAAAGATAGTGCATCGTCGATATATTTGAAAGCGAAATTGAAGAGTTTTTGTTGCCAATTCTGATAAACTCTTCAATAAATTCCGCCCGATTTGGGGAAAAAATCAATAACATCCGCCAGAAGAGGAGCACATTTTGTTCCCAATGTCCACAGTCTGCTAGAAAATCTTGCCAATGAAATCAACAAAGATTGTGTTAACCATAAACTCAGTCGTTCCCATGATTTCTTCCTCAGTATATTTCATCTTGACCTTTGTCTTGTTTTCCAAAAAACAGATGCTAGAAAACAGTTTACAACCACATCGTTCTTCATCACTTTGGTATGAGGTAATTTAATGTAGATAATGGATCCCCCCCCCCCCCCCCCCCCATACTTGTCCATGAAAGACAGGAAATCTCAACCCTCGGGTAAGAGTTGAGCTGTCCAGCTAGAGGCGAAATATCGTGCTTGTCAGTCAAACTCTAACCCTCCGGTTGAAATTTCACTGTCTACGTACCACAGCCATTAAAGATTCTATTAATCTTTTGATATTGAAGAAAGAGTTTTGAGTAGAGAATGTTCAATATAGAAAAATATCTTTTGAGTTCTTCAAAATCAACAAACAGTGTCACAACATGACTTTAACCCTTATTAACCATTGTAGTGGTACAAAAAATGGTTTATATCGTCAACGATCGCAAAATTGAAGTTGTCATGTACAATAGGGTTCAACTGTGGCCTACACCGTAGCCGATCTGTTCTTGTATTTTTATGTTACGGATATTCCGTCTTTGCGTATTGCAGAGTTTTCTTCTCTTTGGAGCGGGTATTGATTGTTACGTCACTTGTTTGTGAGAGAAATGTCATCAATTTTTGAGAAAACGACGTAATTTTCTCACACAGACCAAAGACGTAACAATCAATACCTGCTCCCAAGAGAAGATAACTCTGCAATACGTAAAGACGGAATAGAAGAATGTAGATAAGTTGTCGTTTTAAATTGCTCCTTTGCACATATTTTGCCCTTGTTTCATAGATTTTGAGTTCGATTAACGGTTTTGTTGACAAATCGGTATTCTCTTTTGTGAAGCAATAATCAAGTAATATCTTCAAGATTGAAATTACCTAACGAACTTCTACTCTATGTTATTTATTGGAAAGCAACTTCTTTTTACATCTAATACACGAATACTTCATTAAAAACGATCCATCGCGAAAATGGAGATAATACCGTTGTAAAATTGCGTGCAATTCAGAGCATGCACATTGACTGTTTCGTTGTAAACTAACTGTATATTAAGAATGTATGGTTGACTTTAAAATTGGTGACGCATCGAGTGAGTGATCTAAAATAAGATCGAGTTGTCCCTCCTTTTCCATGTACGCAACGTTTGCTGGGTTTACCTTTGAATCCGCAATAGAAACCTGGTCAGTGATACCAAACCGAAGTCCCGTAGAAAAAAATATAGGTATCTTGT